CGGTATAAACGCCCCTCATACTCCTCTCCCTATGGATCTTTCCGACCCGCTTTCCGACCCGCTTTCCGGTCAAAGTAGACTGTTGGATGATATTACCGATGAGGATGTTGAGGAGGGCCCGGGTGGTGTGGAAGATGTGGCAAGTGAGGGTGTTGTGTTATCGAATGGTGTGCCGCCTGCTGATGAGTTGGTGGCGGAGCTGGATATTGATGGGGAGATGGTGTCTACGGAGGATGGGGTTGGGGTTGGGGTTGGGGAAGTAGGTGATGGGAAGGGAAAGGGTGCGGATTAAGGGAGGGGTTTTGGAGATGGGTGGTGGAACATGTATACCGAATTTCGCTTTTTCGACTTCTTCTTCACTTCTTCACTTCTTCGCTTCATTTCCATTTTGTCTTTTCTTCTTCTTCTTCTTCTTCTTCTTCTTTTTTAAGTCTGTTCATGTTCGCTTCACTTCGGTTTTAGATGGCTGGGTCGCATGTCATGATATCGCATGAATGAGTACATGAGGGGCTCAGCGAAGGCGTTTGTCAAGTAGGATGGCAACAGCGACCAGAAGGAGGGAGTTAATAGTAATATCTCTTCTCACGTCTACGTTTTCATCTCCTGTTTCAAAATGAATCCAGTGCCTAACTGCTAGATCTAAACATTGCATAGCTACACCACATCTCACTCCCAGGGCAAGACTTTAGATCTGGCATGTTAAGTACTGCGAGAATTTTGAGAAGATCGTCACCGCCGGCTATGATTTACATCTCCCGGCTTTTTTACTAGCGCAGTTAGGGTTCCGTCTGTGTCGCATATGTCTTCGTGTCCGCGACATGTTGAACGCGATGGAGAGGTAGCTGGATTAGGTGCGACATCTCGTTTCAAGCATTCTACTGCTACCGTGGGTTTGGTTATTGCTCCTTTCTCGCTGTTTCATTAGTCTAGATCGCCACTGCGCTGGTGCGTCGCTCTAGATCTCGCTCTCTCTGAATTCGGATCCGACATCCGCCGTCTCCAGCCACTTTCCTGGTATCCTAATCCGCCATCTCGTTTCGAAAATGGGGGCTACGAGGATGGGGGTATCGAAGATGGAGGGCAGGGGGGTGGCAGGTTACATCAGTGACATACTGGCATCATACGAGCGTGCTAGATCGGGACGTGAAAGCCGCGGAAGTAGCAGCTACGATGTTTCTCAAATTTGGGGGCCGTTTAGATATAGGGGAATCGAGCTGTCTGTCCCCTTCCCACGGAGGCGGACGCAGTCGTCACGAAGGGGATGTTGGTGGCTTGACGATCATGCCGCGGATGATCTCTGTTCCAAGCCAAAGCACGCGTTCTCAAAACGGGAAGCCGGCATGGCATCGGTTACCGTGGAGGTGGTATACCGCTTCACCCTGTACGTCGGGTGTCGCGTAGTCTGAAGAAACGCATGGGTCTCCTGTATGCAGCCCTTCTCATTCCAAATACTTGGGTGGGGTGGACGTGGTATGTAGGATTTGCCGCGGCGTTTGTAGCGGAAAAGTGATGGGTAGGTGGCTGTATGTTAGTGTTACACTGCTTTGCTTAAGTCACTGTCTGGACGAAGAGTGGGGTGTTGACTGCATGTTCAAAGGCGCACACGTGGTTGATCAACAGGCTCGGTAATTCGATGGCGGTATTGTCGACTGAATTCTACTGGTACTGCGTGATGCACCTTAGCGGCACCCAATGCACTGGCATCTGGTCAATACCACTTCCGTCATTCAAGCACGTCCACGGTATCGGGCTAGATGACATCCTTCACTTCACCCGTAGGGACAAATCTGAAACCGCGCCTCGTGCGTACATGGTATCTGCCCAATAACACCTTTGACAAGCGACAGAATCGAGACAAATCCCCGCAGCAAGACCACGCGATTCACAAGCATATGCACAGTATGTGTCTATGCGTATACGACAGTGGCGTAGGAGCTTGGGTATGCTTTTTTGTAGAACCCGAGTGTATAGTGGGTAGCCAATTCCATGCCGAGAGAGAATTTGATATACGCTAATGTCAAGGATAAGATGCCGTGTAAACGTGTCTACCTTCTAGAAGCCTGATGGAAGGCGCAATTCTGCCGGAGCGTGGATCGGTGTTGGACGTTGATGGCTTGCAAATATTGTGGGGAGGTATACCGGGTGCATGAGCTGGATGTCGGTGATTGCAGATACACTAGGTGCAGAAAGGGTGCTAGAAGTCGCCGAGCTGCTAGAATTTGTCGGCGATGAATAGGCGAGGTGAGTGCATGCAGAACTTGACGATCAACGCCAGTACCAAACCGGTTGAGGCATGAGGAAGAGACTGATACCCTTTTGAGCTAACGTCACGTGGGAACGACCGCTGACCTGATGATAGTAGACGGAGTTGGCAGCAGAGAGACATTCCTCGGTGGCTTTGTCGGTGCGTCACCGAGATAAAGAATGTGGCCACTTCTGCGGCCACCACTTGAGCAACACCATCAGTTCGTGGTGCATTCAGTGCTTTCGATAGCTAATTACCTGCCGCATGTAGAGCTTTCTGTTCTTCTCAACGTCGGTACCAGAGGAGAGCAAGACGCGACCAACCTTGCCACACTGATCGGTGTTGCGGCAAGTAGTGGCGTTGAGACATGTGCGCTTATGTAACCTTGGAGATAGGCTGCTTCCTTGTAACGATCTTGCCCTGCCTACCGCTCACCGATGCCCTGTCTGACCGTTGGAATGGCTTTCGCATCACCGGCGTGCGAGCAGCCACATGGCTCAAATTGCGGTGACTTCAGTGTAACTTCACACGCACGAATGACGAAAGTGTGTCCGTAGTAGTCTTACATGTAAAGGAGCTCAGACTAGAATAACTAGACGCGCGATACGTGTTCGGGTTCAGCGGAGAAGATAGCGCACTTATGTGGTGTGCAAACTACGTCGTCATGCAGAATGATAAGAGAGGCTTTTCTCTACGGCCAATGAGGATTGCGAATGAGAGATGCGATCGAAACGGGGTGATCAAAGTATCTGCCTTCCTCCGTGCCATCAGCATGTTAGTTTGGAGCTTTGGGGTCGTTAGCAAAGTATCGATATTTGCTTAGCCACTTTCCTAGATTTAGTCGTGTTAATTGACCCATTCCAAGCCTGGTTTATCGCGTCGTGTGGGTACAGAACCCATCTATAGAACCGTTGGTTCGCCATCCTTCCCGCCATGCCGACATCCTACACATGCAATTAATCTAATTTGGCCAATGAGCATCCAAGCAGAACGCCTTGCCCAGCTAGTTGTGGTAAGACTAACCTTTCCACGTACCGAAGAAGGCAGTGTCCGCACCACTTTTGGGGCGGTTCAGAACGTGTTGTGGGGTGCCGGTACAATGGTCGTCCAAGGCTGAGGTGAGAGAGAGTGTAGATTGTGCGACGCGTCATCATGTTTTCTCATCGTAGAGTCGATAGCCTGGTGTATGTGGTAATCTAATGTTAGGCGCTCTTTCCTGTCGGTAGATGTGCGCGTGGCTATGCGCGCACGCGGCGGCATCGGCCCGCCGCGACTGTCCCGCACCGATCACAATCGGCCCGCAAAAGCTTGCCTCCAAGCTCCACCCATCCACCACAGCGCTTCCGGATCACAATGACTTGTCTCTTGGGCTATGTTCTGTTCGAACGCGAATCACTGCCCCCCTCGCAAGATGGACTGTTGAACAGCTGACCTGCCTCAGCACTAGATCGCCCTGCAAATGTGTCAGCGCTACACACTACCGGGTACAGGAACGGCCCCGCTAATCCTTGCTATCCTGCGATCCGCACACTTCCACACTTCCCCACCTTCCCTATTGGCGAAAGCATGTGAGTATCCAGTAAGGCTATGTTCGGCTATGATTAGTGTGCGTATGTGGCGCGTAAACTCCCACGCATCCTGCAGAAGCTGTAGTTGGGAGCGGGCGTTCGGCGAGACACGACGATGTTCGGCGAGGAGCGCGGGCAGGTATTGTTCGTGGCATGTGTTGGCATGTAGCGACATCGCAGTGAGGAGGGCCTGGTGATCTTTTGTGGAAGGAGGTGGGAGGCGAGTTCTTCGAGATGATGGTGATAGCTGTTCGGCATCAGGGCGACTGACTGGCTGAGTTGACGAGTCTCAGAAGTCACTCTCCAGCCATCGTCGCGCACGTTCTTAACGCGGACTACCCATCGCCAATCGCATCTTTGGTGAGTCGATATTCATAACCATGACGGACCATCATTTCCTCGATCGTCCTCCATTCGATCTGGCGAAGTGCGAGTGGAAACTTACCTTGTCATTTCAAGCGCCCGGCCCAGTAATTCACAAACCTGAGCAGTCAGCATAGCCTGTTTTGATCCCATGCGCATACTTCGAAGGTGGGCCCGGCCTACGGGTGAAGCTCTCGCAAGCGACATGCAACCAATCTGCCCGATCCCTGGACGTTGGGGGCGTTTTGTTGCCAATGGCGCGCGCATAATAGCGGTAATGCTGCATTGCGGCACGTTTTGCTGCAGTTCTAACACTATAGCGTACAGGTTCGTAAAGGATCTCCGCTTGAGGTTGGTGTCGAAAAGACGGCCTAGCTCTGGACTCTGTGCCCCGGTAACGGAGGCAAGCTCGCTGTGGTATAGTGCTTGGGATCATACGAGGTAAAGAACAGTTGAGTCAGGCATCAAGAAGCGAGACGCAGAAAGAAGGTAACCAGAAATGGGTATAGATAGCGAAGTCGGGTTAGTTGTACTTCTCTGTACTGGAAATGGAGACACGGTTCATGATAAGTAATATATTACAACTGCACCAATGAGATTGCGATGATGGTAGGTTACACTTGCTGTGTTGTATCGTCCGAAATCGATCTGTAAGTTGGCGATTGGAGGTATATACAGGTTGTGGAACGAGCGGGCGGAAGTAAACGTGTGTTTCGAGTTGACGCAGCTAGAGGAAGGCGTGTGTCGCTCACGCCCACTGAAGCGGGAGTATCGTGCAGCTTTAGACAAGGAAAAGAAGCTCCTCAAGGGCGAAAGAACGAAAGCTACACCGTATGGACACGCAGACGGCCCTGTGTTCGTGATGCCATCTGACGCTTGACGTTCTCCGGAGCGACCGACATGGTTATCTTGAAGGTATCGCGGACGCGGGTTCGAAGCGAGGCCTCCATAGCCACATACACACCGCAATCAATGCCTGTCTCGGCTGTGCTGGTAACGTTGCAGTATCGCTCAGAGAACTTGTCGACAAGCTTCTCAATCCTGCAGAGCTCGGCAAGGATAAGGTTGGTTTGATAGACCTGCTCGTGCTCAGAGTCCAAGGCACCGCGCAAACTCTGCTGGTACGACAGTGTCTTCATGTAAGTTTCGATGGAATAGCTATCGCCTTGCAGATCTCCACCTGCCATCGCTTGATACCAGGAAAGTATCTTCATAATAGCCAGGTTGACTGTAGCTGAGAAGTGGGGATTCGATGAGCAATCGCAGTTCAAGAGTGTGTAAAGGTTGTCGACGGCGGCTATGTTGGTTGGGAGTACAGACCCTGAAGCGGGGAGACCGTCGAGCGAACTGAAGTCACCAGCAGTAGACTGGTTCTCAGGTGGGACATACAAGCTGCAAAGAATTTGGAACGCGAACTGAGTACAGTCATGCCTCAGGAGAATGTTGGAATCGGGTGGTGTCGGTAAAGGCGCTGATGCCATGGGGGGTGGAGAAGCCATGATCTTTTCCTGCTGTGTATCATGCGAGACAGGCATGCCAAGAAACTGATGGCTGATAGCTGCTGGGGTCTGAGTTCGCTCCAGCGATGTGACCATGTCAGGCTGACTAGAAATACTAGTCGACCGAACGTGAACGTGTCCATGGAAAGCCGTGGATGGCGGAGGATACTGTGGTACTGGAGCAAACATCTCTGTGTTGTTTGTATACATCATCTGTTCATCGTTTGGCCAGGTGTTGACACGCGAGTTGACACCTTCGGAGCCCACGGAAGAGTGACTACTACTGAACGTGTCGCCGATGAATGCGTCTTGATAGTGATACTCTGGAGTACGGGGACCGAAGTAAAAGGGATCTGTCGGTTCTGGAGAGCTTTCATACTTGTATAATGCGGCGCGTGGGAGTAGATCCATTCTAGCTCCAAGAGGGACGTAAGAGCCCGCTGGTGAGATCTCGCGCTTGATGGAACCGTCAAGATTCCTGTTCTTGCGTGGCTTCCCAAGTCTGTAAACGCGTAAGCTCGAATGCTGGGCTGGACACAAAGCTGACATACCTCATGGAGGGTGAGTAGTTGCAACAGATACTCATGGTGCCGCATCGGTGACATATTGGTCTGACTTTGTCGCACTTGACCTTGCATCGGCGTTAGGGACTGTTTCCAATTCGATGAAAGGGTAGATCGTGTACCTTAGCACGAGAGCAAGCGTCGCAGGAAGCTCTCATCTTGCGAGGCTTTTGTTCCCCGTGCGAACCAGTCGATAAGAAGGTGATTCCTGGCCCAACGACCATGTCTTCGGTAGGAGGTGATTGTGGTGGGCACGGTGCGAGAGCTTGAGTCGAAGGCTGAAACATTGTGTTGTGTGATGTTGTGAACGTGGGATGGAGTGCGGAAGTAGACATGGAGAAGCACATAATATATAGAATGATGGGCGATCAGATAGCTCCAATCTGAACTAGGTTGATGTAAGAACGATGGTGGTTGGATCCACTCCATTGTAGGCGTATCCGCGATGCAGGTGGCTGCTAGGCTAGGCGTTGAGCTGATGCTTGGCTCTGCATGAACAGGGAATGCTGTACCCATCGCGCCGGAAGTGCCTTGAATGGAAACATGGGGGCTGAAGGCTTACAGGCGAACATACATGCTTCATCGAGCCTAGCGTATACCGGGCAGCCCGCAAACCAAATATGCGTGTCGTTGCGCGCCAATTCTGTTTGAAAATCCTCCCGAAGAACATTGAACTGTGTGTGCACCAAGGCGCCAGAGAAGCGAATCGTGCGCATCTTGTGGTAGTGGCTCTTCGATGATAAAGCAATCGCATGCTCAAAACTATCCCCTGTGCAGAGGTGGCTATGACAATGGATACCGTGCCACACAGTCGGTATTTGATGAGGCTCGGTGACCTGAGGCTGCGGTCGCGGGCAGATGAGTTGACCGCATTGGATAGATTGACTCTCCACGAAGGTCTCAACGTTCCACCTGTTCGGGGAGGTCTTCGTGTCTTGCAGCAACATTGGTTCAAGGTCGCGGCGCTAGGCCTCCCAGTCATCGACCCCTGCGATTCATCCGCGGACGGTCTCTCCCTACGTGACTGACACAATGGACGCGTGGGGTATTCCTAGATGACCTACCTAGTTTGGCTATGCTGCACGAAAAGAACAACGCTAATCGATTTTGTTACGGTGCGAACCAAGCCTCGCATGCTTGATCTGGTGACGTGTCGGTAAGATACCCGATGTACAGGTACAAAATAGCGTGTTAAGCAGCATTCGGTATAGTTTAGGGCTGGATCCACGTAAGACAGGTAGAACTCTACCTTCAACTTGGCTAGATAGCGATTAACATAGCCTGGGATAACGGTTGCATGCTGCAAATAAACCAGGGCACTCTTTGGCTGTACGTGATCTTGAAACCCGTAGACCCATCAGATTCCTCGGTTCGCGCAGGTGTATCGGGAAGAGCTGTCTGGCCGACGCTGAGGTATGGCGGGCCGATCATCAACCAACACTCGCCTGTGCACTCCGCAGCTGCCCGCCTCGTGACACCTTAGTTTTCAGGCTACTGATCTTGTGCGACCACGCTGTCGAGAAATAGTACTCAGCGAGGCGTCGCAGACTGGTGCTACCCCAGGCACGCTCAGCCTCGGGCATAATAAAAGAAAGCCAAGGCGTGAGCCACACAGTCGCGTCAAGGCTGCAGTATAGGCGATGCAGTGATAGTAGAGGCATCAATGACGCTCTAACGCGAAAAGTAACAAGTCGGCAAATGTGACTTTGCCAGAAGATGGGGGGCCGGAGCCTGCATAGCGACAGGTATTGAGCTGTGTTGGGGCGCAGACGTGGGTGAAAGTGTGTGAACTCCACCTGGCACCTGGGCAGGTTCGGGAACGGCACGCCACTAGCCGCCCGCGCTAGCGATCAAACCAGCATAGCGTGCCGGGCATTAGCCGTCACCATCACTCCTCCCCTATCTCAATGGCAGATATGCGCCGAACGACCTGGAAGGCATCGCAATCTACAGTGCCTCTTACCATATGCGAAATACCCACTTCCGTTCAGGAACACTTCCCAAGCATGCAATACCGAGATAGGTTGTGTAGCGCGGAAACCCGGCGGACCCCGACTTCAAATCGCTTTGCATGTTCAACTGCATTCATACTGAAGGCTGAAACACGCACTACCTCCCTGAGGAGAAGGCTCACCCTGTACGGTGACGGCAAGATTCTGAGGCTAGAGCATGTCACTATTAAGCGACCTGCAGTGCGGCTATGAGCGCATGATCCTATCCAACACGACCGGCTGTCGAAATCCAGACCTCAACCCGGACAAGGGCATGAGGAGCACTGGTATCAACAAGAGAGGCTCGAGATTGGGTTCTGTGGCGTCGTAATCGGGGAGCGAAGAGACCAGCACACAGCCGATGATACTATCTGGAAACGTCTTGGGTGGAACACGTTCCATTCGATGCTACCGTTCACTGGCCTGTTGTTCGTCGGAAGGAATGCTGTTCAGGCGACCGTACTTTAACATCATGTTTCATCATCCACTGCACGTACTCATCGCGCGCTGTTGCCCCTCCTTTTCACGCCACCGACAAATACGACTCTTCATCCAGTCGTCCCCCTGGTTTGCTCTGTGGTCGGCACATCAACTTGCGGCACGGGTACGCGTACCACATTCCTTCGGGAAAGTAGGATCTAACAAGCGTCAATATTGCTTAAAGTCTAACGGCTACCCAACACGAGGTTTGACCCTCCAGCAGTACCATTTCATTTGCCTCGACCTGCCTCCTTGAGCAAGAAGTATAGTATGGGTATCGTAAGGCACAGACTCGATGCACAACGGTTGATAGCGTCGCAATTTATGCGGCCTCGTCCCGAAAGGATAGCTTCATGAACAAGTGACTCGAAAAACAGTAACAGTCACGTCGTGGTTGTTTCAAAGCAAGTCGAAAAAGACACATTTCCTGCTGGAAGATCCTTCATCTTGCTTCATCGTCTCTGGAACGTCGTCTCTGGGTGTGGAGGTGGGCGCGCTCGGTGTTGAACAGACCACGTGCAGTGATAAGATGGTGCCATCTATCCACGGGGTAGTCATTGTTCGCAATGTTTGTAAGTATTCGCAACTATTGCAACTTTGCATAGTATCTGGAAACAATTGCAGACCTAGAGGCCCTTCCATATGTCAGCGTCGAGATCTTCGGTAAGTCACTGGTCGATGATGATTGGCTCAACGACAGCTGAACTACCTTCAGCTTTACCTTACCTACGTCGTCCTCGTTATGTCATTGCTGAAACCTGATTGGACTCGATATCGTTTATTCACTGTCGTAATCTATGATGATTAAAGTAAAAGAAGAAAAAGCTAGGTCAGCAGCAGCATCAAGACGTTCTTCCCAAGGTCTTTTAGCAACTTCTGCTTTGACCTTTACGAAACCCTCAATACCTACAGATCAGATCAAACCATTCTACATACACTCCGTAGAGTCATTCCATCAGCCCTACTCTTCATTTAGGAGATCGATGCAGAGATTGCATCGCGCCAGCACGAGCACCGTGGGATGGCATTTTGCGCTGCTCGGAAGGCTGGGCGTAAGGAACCTTGGAAGAGAGGAATGTGGAACTAGCGTCCCCTACGGCTTCACTGGATTGATCTCAATTCGTCTCTTATCGCTTTTTACTCATGCTTGACGACGTCCGCGACAGCAAAAGGACTTCAGCAAGTCGCGATGCATGAACAGCGTCGCGACGTCATGTGCAGGGGTGGATGCACTATCGCTCAATGTGGTATACCGTCGGAGTTTCGCCGACCCCGGAAGATCTTGAATTTCCCCATCTCATTTCTCCACGGAGATTTACCCCTGCGATCATCCAGCCCGCGCCTTATAGTCTTCCGGAGCGACAACACATCCGATGACATCTCTTGACGAACTTCCAGACGCTCCATATGGTGATGTGAACGTGCCTGATGACACCACCAGGTCGAACGCACCTGTCACGAAAAGAGCCTGCGATGCCTGCAAACGTCGCAAAGTCAGGGTGAGACATTGAACGCAAATGCAACGGAAAGAAAGTACTTCTAGGAACTTCGCTAACGCCGTCAGTGCGATGCGATATCTACACCATGTTCAAATTGCCATATCTCTCGATTGGAGTGTGTGTATACGATAGCACCTCAGAAGAGAGGACCAAAGCGCAAACGAGATGCGACCACGCAACCGACCTTCAGAATTAATGATCATGGATCCATGTCAGCTGCAGGTGGCCAGGCGCATCAACGCGATATCCGCTCTAGCAATACCACAATTCAAGCGCAAACCCCGACAATCACGTCAAGAGGCGCTTCTTCGAATGCGGCGAGACGCTCACAGTCCTCACCTCACGTGCAACTACAGACGGGGCTTGCACCCCATATCATTGCGGATCAGTTGATCACCTTGTACATGCATTACCTCTTTCCTATAGCACCCACTGTTCACGAACCGTCCATTCGCGCCATGGTCCCCCTCTTGGAAGGTGATGGAGCCCACGGCGTTCTCAGTCCCTCATCAGCATCGCAATCACCATGTCTCGATTCTGGAGATGTCGTGTCATTACGTAACCGCACACTCCTGACAGCGATTTGTGCGTGCACGGCTCTCATGCTACCTGCGTCCGTTTTCCCGATGCGGGAAGAGATTGGACGTCAATTTCTTACAGCCTCACGCGAGACGCTGAAGCTACATCAAGATTACGGTTTGTGAAACGTTCTCAACGTTCTAAAGGAGACTTTGGCTGACTTGACATAAATCTTGAAGATATCGAGCAGCCCGACTATACCGCTTTGGTGACGAGATTCTACCATGCCAACGCCTTGCGTGCTATGGGAAAGACGCGGTTATCCTGGCACATACTAGGGGAAGCTATACGCCTGACACAAGAAATGCGGCTCTACGAAGAATCTACATTCGAGAATCTTGACCCAGTGGAGGAACATCTGTTGAAGAACATCTTCTGGCAGATCCATGCTGTCGACAGGTCCGCATCCATCCTAATCAGTCGTCCAATATCGCTTCATCGCCTTTGTGTAGGGGCTAAAATAACCACATCGTACTGGCGCCGTCCGTCATCCGACGCGCCTTTGCTGGAATACTCGACCACTCCAAACGCTCTCGATATAGAGAGCATGGTCAGCCAGGGATTTGATCTTTGCCAAGACCTATGGACGAAAGCATCCGACATAATCATCAAGTTCGACACTCTGGATGTTTGGAACGAAGGCATTACGGATGGCTCTGCGTTGGTTGGCCCTCAACACACGATAGTCATCACTGACTACCTCGAGTTCATCGGCATGATCGATCACTTCCGATTTGATGTGAAGGTGCCGGACACCACGAATACATCTGATCCAGCAACCGTGGCCAGGATTCAACGGGCCTTTGATATCCAAAGAGTAAATCTATGTGTCACCTACTACTGTCTGAAGCTAGTGCTGCTCCAGAGATTCTACGATGGTGGAGTGGCTGAGCACCTAGGCGTTCCTGGCCGGGCATACGGGATTGCGTTGAGAAAGATCGATGTCGCTAGTGACATGGTCCGCATACTATCAGAAGCATCCTTCGAGTCCCTTCAAGTTAATGGAGAACCTTGCGTAAGTTTACTTTATGTTCATCCAAGCAGTATCACTGACAGCATCGCAGGTGCAAATGATTCGACGCATGGGAACGACTCTACTCAACATTGTACAAGAGACCGATAACACATCCCTGAAGGAGCGTGCGAAGTCATTGTTCCTCACCCTCTTGGATGTGCTATCGAGACTGGATTCTCGCGTTTCCGAGGAGCTCAACTATAATCGCGGCTTCTAGACTACTCGACAGTTTACTCAAGACGTACTATCAGTGTACAGCGCAAATTCACGCTTTCGAAGCGTTCGATATACGACGCGCCCTCGGATCGTATTACGCCCTCCTCTTGTACTGCCACTTCTTGTGCAATGGTACAAATTCGTAATCTCGCCCGTTGAACTTACAAAGAGCCATCATGGCTTTCGCATGCTGTCCGTGAAGAATCAGCTATACATGAGACTCGGGAAGGTGTAACGTGCCTATGGTGGCCATCAGCACTGGGAGCGGTGGTTGAGCAAGGGCGGGCACGCGACATCCCCAGTCACGTCTAATGTATGATTCACCATAATCGGCGTGTACGCAAGACCATTGGCCGGCAACGATCATGGCATCCTGGCAGGAGTAGTGTTGTCGCCCAACCTACGAAACAAGGCCAATGAACCCACCACCAAGTCAAACACATACCCCGCAGATTGTCGGACATGATTTCCGCGACACATACGGAAGCGAGCGACTCTCCAAAGCCGTATCCAGTGCGCCGATGAGCTTTTCGCATGAAAGCAGCAAACTGTAGCTGTCGAGACCCTGGACGAAGATTCCAGCAATACAATGCGAACGACCAAGAATGGCTACCTCGTGACGACCAATTTTGTCTGCGATACACTCATCGTCGAATGCAGCCATGAACATACCGACACTTATCGCAGCATAAGGTACTTGCCGATCGCATGCGCTTGTCTCAACGGCGCCGTTAGCTGTCGTTCGATTCGAATGATCCAAGGATGCGGGAATAGGGATGATGCTGCCGACCAAAGCAAGCTCGAAACCATAGTTAATCGGAAGCGGGAAGATGAGAAAACATCCGTTCCGAAATGGTCGACCCACTGATCCGAGAGAAACCCGAAGACACATCAACCAAGCCAACGTTCGGTTTCGCTGCCCAAGATCGCGAAGACCTAGGCTTTCATGATAACGTTTGTGATCCCTGGTCCGTATTGGTGCGCTTTTGTTGTGGGCAGTCTCCTCATCCGACCCCTCCAATATTGAGCATCATCAGTGTGGTAACGAAAAGCCAGAAAAGAAAATCGCTCGCAACCTGTATAATGCGCTGGAGCTACATGGAAACGTCGTTGCAGTCGCAATACTTATGCTCGCGTCGCGGAGCCACCTACTCGTCTGCACCCGCATCAGCGTTCGAGGTAGCCTAGAATTCCTCCACGGCGAAATGGCGACCCCCGAATCATGCATATGCGCTACTCACGATTTGTCAACTGCCGGGGATTGTGGCTCGCGGATTACAGCCGAATGGGCGGTGGAGCGAGCGACTCCGTTACGCTTTTGGTATAGCGCTCCATATTTCTCCGTGGTGAAACGGAGGCGCAAAACACGGGACGCAGATTTCTCCATGGAGTAATACAGCACGACAGAGGTGGGATTCCAACTTAAGGCAGTAGCAATTCAACCCGACACCGAACACCGAATCCACTTTGCTATCAAGCCCGCAATTGGTAATTTTCTCCGATCGGAACCGCTCGACGCCACTCAGTCCACGTCGCGTCATCCTCCGAACTTTGCAAACCTCTCGATCGCTGTCTCGCTGTCTCACTGTGCACACTGAAAGCCTGAAGCATGTTCCGGAATCCCATCATACCTGGCTTCGCTCCTGATCCATCTGTCGTCCTTGTGAACGGAATCTACTATCTCGCAACTTCTTCTTTTCATCTGTTCCCAGGTATTCCGATATATGCATCAACAAATCTGCAAGACTGGAAACACATTGGTTCGTTTCTGTGCGCATACTGCAAAGATGTGAGCATCGGCTGAAGCGTTCTAGGAAACGCAATCAATAGATCCTCACAACTCGACTTGAGCAATGCTGTCACAACCGCCATGCCGCTCAATGACGGCAATGTCATGGTAGCATCCGGAGGCCTATTCGCACCCACAATCCGTTATCACAACGGCGTCTTTTACATCGTCTGTACAAACTGCTACCCCGAAAGCAACAACTGGCGAACAGACAACCTCTTAATTCATACAAGAGACATCTGGTCCGATGTTTGGAGCGATGCGATACCCTTTGAGTTCTACGGCATCTACCCTTCTCTTTATTTCGATGACGATAATCGCGCCTACATTCAAGGCTCATGGATGATGAACCGCATGAGGGAGCCTAGTTGCACGGTCAAGCAATTTGAGATCGATGTGAATACCGGACAACCCTTATCTGAGACCCGAGAAATCTTGGGTGCCTTTCCAGATGGCGACGCCGAAGGGCCCCACATCTACAAGAAAGATGGCTGGTACTACTTACTTGTAGCACAAGGCAGAACGTTTGCACACCACATGCTATCAATAGCACGCTCAAAAGACATATGGGGCCCATATGAGCAATGTCCGCACAATCCTGTACTGACAGCAGATGGCACAAACGAGTATGTGCAGAATATCGGCCACGGCGAGATCTTCCAAGACGTGAACGGGGAATGGTGGGCTGCAGTTATAGGAGTACGAGGAGACCAGGAGTCAGCACCGATGGGTCGCGAGACCTTTCTCACAACAGTCGAATGGCCGCAGGATGAATGGCCAACGATAGAGCAACCGCAGATGTCTTTCAGCACACCGCGCACAGTGCAGATGGGTTTCGCCGCGGCGCAGTTGCTCAAGAACGTCCGCCAACTGAAACCTCACATCGAAGACGTATACCTGCACAAGCCCTTGCGACGGCCCTACAAGAAAGCTTCTTCAATAACGCTCACACCCACCACTTCGAGCCTCTCCGCCGCATCAGCACCCCTAGCCCTACTCGCCCGCCGCCAACGAAGCGTAACAACCATCGCAACAGCCACCGTCCTCCTCGACAACGAAGCCACGCACTCCAACGCCATCGGCGGCCTGACCATCTACAAAGACCCCCTCCGCCACGCCAGCATCTCCGTCTGCCTCTCCACCCGCCTCATCCACGTCCACTTCGTCGACGCATCCAAAGACTACGAATACACTGCCTCCTACCCCGAACCCGTTTCCCGCTCTTCCACCGCCGTCGACCTACGCATCATAGCCGCAGAAGAGCGGTACGCCCTCGAGTTCCGCGACCCGGAAAGAGATAGGCGGTGGAACCAGGTCGATGTGGTGGATACGAGGATGTTGAGTGCGAGGGATTTCACGGGTACGGTTATGGGCATCTTTGCGTTGACGGATGGGAATGCGACGCCGAGTGTTAGTCCGAGGGATGGGTGTGATAGTGGGAGTGATGTTACGGATCAGAAGGTTACGTTTCGCGATTTTGAGGTCAGGCGCTAGATGGATGTTGAATGGATGTGGTAATGTTAATCGGCGCACCAGGGAGGGCGCGGGAATGGACGGTGGAGTTTTTAGTTTGGGCTGAGGGCGTCGGTCGTGTCTATGGTTGATCGTTGATCGTTTGTCTTGTTTTTTCTTTTTGGATGATGGCGCTGGCGTACTGGAGGTTGCCTGGGGTATCATGGTTTATTGGATTGGAGCGATGGGTTTCTTGTTTGGATGGGCATTTGCAAGGTTTGGCGCCGTGATCTTGGTAGTCTTTTGGTATGCTGCATGATGGAATGATTAATCCGCGCATGATGCGGCTATCGTAATGCATTTTATGTGATATAGTAAAGCATTGAGTTCAGACGAGCTGTAGTCCTTCCGTATCCCATACCACTGTTTCGTACGTGCCCCACATGCCCCACATTCAGATCAGGTCCACCACTGCTAACTGCGCGAATCTGTGGTCGTGGATACAGTCAGTATGTCCGCCAAGGTGTTCTTCGGGTCTTGGCAGACGTCGGCCTCGAGGAAGTCTCTCGCGATCTGCTCCTACGTCCGCATCAGTTGATGTTTCCAAACACTCAGTGACACGTACCGCGTCCTCGAGTTCTGCAGCTTCATCTTCCGGCATCTGACAGCACGTAGCTACCAGGTCTTCGCCACAGACGGAAAGGAGGATCAGATTCTCTGCGCGCTGGATGATCTCAGGAGGTACACCGTTCATGGCGGCACAGCTGTTTTGGTGTTAATGATTGCTAGCAGCGGCGAGAGCCACCAACTCACCATGTGCCGAAGCTTGAGGTACTTCGACCTTCGCGAAAGCTGAATGCTGTCAGTATCCTTCAACTTTTAGCATCTTAGTGAACTCACTTGTAGAGATATGTTATCTGCTCGTTGACTTCCGACGCTTCGGCATCGATGCGCACTTCCATGTGCCCGAACGCAAGAGCAGGCCTTGACTTAAGCAGGTTCATCTCAAAGATTTCTGGTGAGATTAGCATCGGATTCATGCATATTTGAAGCTAACATACCATGAAAATGCGTAGCACCAATGACCTTGGGTCGCTCAGACCCCAGACTCAGCAGGTACTCCATGACTGCGCATGCCAGACCAGCGCCATCGCTGGACTCTGTCCCCTTGCCGAACTCATCGATGATAAGCAAGCTGCGACGCGTCGCCAGACTCAGCGCGAGTGAAATCTGCTGAAGGTCTATCATGAAAGCGCTCTGAACACGAGACACTGTCTCGCGCGTCGTGACCCTGGAAAGAATCTTGTCCGTCAACCCAATCTTTGCGCTATGTGCTGGGACGAAACATCCGACATGGGCCATGTATACGATGAGCGCGACCTGCTTCAGGTACACGCTCTTGCCTGAGTAGTTGGGCCCAGTCAATACAACCATGCTTGCGCTATCTTTATGCGCATAGGTATGGCGACTTGCAGAGCTCGTGATCGGTTGGGTACCGGTACCATAGCTATCATCGACGTCTTCCTCAGGAGTTCCATCGCCTTCCCCGCCTCTTAGCGTCGTATCGTTCGCGACGAAGGATGATACTGTGAGCTCTTGCAGAATATGGCTAGACTGAAGTCAGTGTCTGCATACCGCCTCCACGATTGGTAGACTCACCGGCCTCCCTTGATACGTATGACATTGTCATGGGTTATCCGGGGGCGACACAGCTTGTAAATCTTCGCACCTTGTGCTAATGCAAGAAGGCTATCAAGCTCTCCGCATACGTCCGAACAAGATGTCAGCAGCTCTTCATATTGCAGCAGATACTGTGCGAGCTCATGGCTGATCTCAATCTCGCGATCCGAGATGATGCCGTACACGTCGCCGAAGTGATCATCCATCTCACGAGTTTCGCTGTTCTTGAAGTAGACCTGCTCTTCAGTGGCGAACATTCTATCCCATGGACTGTCGAAGGTGCCTTGATAGACGGCATCACCACTCAGTTCATTGACGGGAGTGGTGCAGAGAAATCCGATTTGCGGGAAGTAGATGACGTTAAGAGTGGCGCCTAATCTGGTCAGCCTTTGATTCGGTGTAGCCCGAAGGTAGCAGAAACTGGGATAAACAGGAACAGTGTGACGTACGGATGTCGGAGGGCATCTTCTCAGACAACTTCCGCGCTACTCGGTTGAGAAAGTCGTCAAGACTGTCCAGAGTCCTTTTCATCTGATCCAACTCGTCGTCAACGCCGGGCATGATGACAGTCCGACCTTCTTCTGCCGAACTGGCCAAGTCGATGGTCTCACTGATTTTTCTTCCGATCTGAGCTAAATGGTAACCTTCAAATTTCTCGAAGACCTGCAAATGTCAACATCGCAATCCTATGAACCGCCACAGGCTATTGGCACAGCCTTATGGTGATCATCAGGCTGGTAATTGTAAGTACCTTGTTCCTGATCGCTAAAGTTTCACCGCCGAGAACATCTTGTAATGTGTCTTTGATCTTGAGGGCATGGAATGCAAACTATCAGGATCAGCCTGATGACGTACGGTGGTGGTCTTGCGAGACGTACCGCTCTGATAGATGTCCATATGCTCTTGGAAAAGCCTCCGCCTGCTTTCGTTGAGCCGCCCACGCCCTTTCTCAGGTTGACCATCATGGCACGCATGTTGCTGATGTTCTTGAGATTCTGTACAAGTGCCTGTAAAGCGGGATCGTTGTCTGGGCGAACGAACACCGCTATCGTGCTCAGCCTCTCGTTGATGATATCGATGTTGAGACTGGGGCGCAGGAACTGTTGCCGAAGCAGGAACCTTCCTTGTGGTGTTCGAGCGAGATGGTGGAATAGCCCATACACGGAGAGCCCTTCCTTTTCGCCGGAGCTGGCTTTGGTCGGCCCTTTGTTATGCGAGTGCGGATGTGATTCGGCACCCATAATTTGTAAAGAATGAAGTGTATCTGCGTTGATGAACATAGTCTCTCGAAGACTGAACATTTCCAGTGTTGTGATACGGAACATAAGATAAGCTGAGCGATCGCCAGGAAGGTATGCTGCAGCGCGTCGGCGTTGAAGATACGATATAAGTGCTCCAGCGCAGCCGACCTGTGCAGTATTAGCGACGCATCTTCCAAGGGAAGCGCGGGAATACCGTCGAACGGCTGTCAAGGTCAATCCATCCTGCTAGCCGGAGCAGTTGTCCTTGCTGGCCTAACATGCCTTCCTCATCCAGATGGTTCATTGATGCAAGCTCTCCTGGGATGTTGAAACTGACACGAGCGCCACTCTCGTCACCCAAGCGAAGGCTGACAAGCTTGTTCTTTGCGGCATCGTATGAGAACTCATTGGGTGGTCTCACTTCTAGCAGGAATGGGAGGCGAAACTGGTCGTTGTCGCTGCTTGCACTGTCGCTCCTAGCTTCTGGATCGAACCTGTCGATGACTTTGTCGTCAATTTTTGTCGATACCAAGATCACTGTAGGCTCGATGAATGTTCTCACTGCGCGCGGGTTAACGTAGGCTCTGGAAGTCGAGACAAGGGAAACCCACGGGAGTCAATGACATCAACGTCGCCGCACTGTATATCTTCCATGAAGTACAGCTTCTCGTCTCTTGCGACGTAATAGCAACATCCTACTGTACCGCGTAATGTCATATCAACGGCCATAATGACCTCGATCAACGTATCCTCGTTTCCGTCGGCATCATTCCGACCCTCAGAAGGCGTATTGACTGATGTATCCGGAAATGGTCCTCGATGGACCTCTGCCCGCGACCTGCTCGGTCCTGTAGGCACGCTTGAAGCAGAGCGCGTGGACGATGCATGCGAGTTGCTAGTGGAGGTGGGTGTGCGGCGGTTCTGACTACTGCGATTTCCGCGCGAGGTAGTACTGCTGCGACTACCCCGACTCCGGTACGAAGAGTTGCGCGCCATCGCGGGAATCGAGAAAGATGACTTTGATAGGGCTGGGTGTCGGTGGGGTGAGAGAATGCTAAGATGTGGGGGCTGAGACGGAAGAGGAAGTCACGCATGGCAGCTTACGCGACGCGTGCCTGCCGCGGGATACTGAATCAAAGAAGAGAATCTTATGCATTGATGCAATCTACAGAGAGGAAATGTGCTACCTACACACGCCGTTGATGCTACATTATGTACATGCAGTAGTACAATTTACATTCTGTTATACAGTCATATCGTCGTTAGTCATACTTTTTCATGCGGCAGCAACGGTGAGACCGGTGCCTTCCGCGTTAATGGCGACCTTAGCCGTGTCTCCGCTGCGAATCTCACCACGGATTATTCTATCCGCGAGGCTATTGCCGATCTCACGTGCAATGAGCCTGTTCAGCGGCCGAGCACCGAACTTCGGATCGTATCCTCTATCGCATAGCCACTGCTTGGCTTCGTCTGGACATTGTAGTACAATCCTACGGTCGTCCAGTCGCTGCTGCAGTTCCTTGAGACGGATGTCCACAATATCCCTGAGCGCTTCGCGTGACAGACGGCGGAAGATGATGAATTCGTCTAGACGATTGAGGAACTCTGGTGGATACGTGGCGGACACAACATCCATCACAGCGCTGCGTACTGCGGGTGAGATTTCACTAGATTCCTTTCCAGCCGAGTCCAGCACGTCGTCACCAACGATGATATCAGCACCCAGGTTCGATGTCATGACGATGATGGTGTTGCGGAAGTCGACCTTGTGTCCTTGGGCGTCTGTGAGGAAGCCTTCATCAAGTACCTGCAGAAGAAGCGTCGAAATATCCTTGTGAGCCTTCTCCCATTCATCGAACAGGAGAACCGCGTAGGGCTTTCGTCGGACAGCTTCGGTAAGCTGGCCAGCGTCCTCGTATCCAACATAGCCTGCAGGTGAACCGATGAGGCGCGAAACCGTGTGCTTCTCGCTAAACTCGCTCATGTCGAATCGAATGACAGCCTGGGGAGTGCTGAACAAATACTCTGCCAACCTCTTGCAGACCTCGGTCTTTCCTACACCAGTCGGTCCCAACATCATGAAAGAAGCGATGGGTCGGTTCTCGCCGGACAAGCCAGCCCTCTGCAGACGAATGGCGTTTGCGACGGACTTCAACGCCTCGTCTTGGCCCTTGACGTATTGCCGTAGGGTGTCTTCCATGTGTATAAGCTTCTCACTCTCGCCCGAGTTGAGTTTGGAGAGCGGGATGCCGGTCGTGCGTGAAACCACGGATGCGATGTCGTCGGCAGTGACAGAGTCGTGTAGCAATGAGCCCTGTCGGTTGGCGCCCGCGGTGACCTCCTCGTCTCTTGGGAGCTTCTGCTCCAACTCGGGGATCCTGCTGTACTGCAGCTCACCGGCTTTGGCAAAGTTTCCCTCTCGGCGAGCTTGTTCGAGCTCGAGCTTTGCCCTTTCAAGGTTCTCCTGCGCGTTCTTAATTTCGTCAAGCTCAGCTCGCTCCTTTTCCCATTTCTCGGTCAAGCCCTTGACTTCATCTTGCTTTTGTTTCAGAGATTCCTCGAGGCGTTCACGTCGCTCTTTGCTGGCAATGTCTGTCTCTTTCCTGAGCGACTCCAGCTCGATTTGTATGGTCATGATTTGACGGTCTAGTTCTTGAATGGCATCAGGTTTGCTCTCTTGCTGGAGGCGCAGGGCACTCGCGGCTTCGTCTACCAGATCGATGGCCTTGTCGGGAAGGAAGCGGTCGGTGATGTATCGGTTGCTGTACGCAGCGGCGGCGACTAGGGCGTTATCGGTAATGCGGACACCATGGTGGACCTCGTATCGCTCCTTGATACCGCGCAGTATCGAGATGGTGTCTTGTACGGTCGGCTCGCCAACTAGAATTGGCTGGAATCGTCTCGCAAGCGCAGCATCCTTCTCGATTTGTCGGTATTCGTTGAGTGTCGTTGCACCGCAGAGTTGTAGCTCTCCACGGCTGAGGGCGGGCTTCAGAAGATTGCTAGCATCGATGCTGCCCTCTGCCTTGCCCAGACCTAATAATGTGTGTAGTTCATCGACAAACAGTATGACGCCCTTCTTCGCCTCTTCGACCTCCTTTAAGACGCTCTTGAGGCGCTCTTCGAAATCTCCGCGGAACTTCGCGCCAGCAATGAGAGACCCGAGGTCAAGAGATATGACGCGCTTGTCTTTGATCGATTCGGGTACGTCACCTTTGACGATTCGCTGGGCTAGGCCCTCAAGGATGGCGGTCTTTCCTGTTCCCGCTGAGCCGATCAAGACTGGGTTGTTCTTCGTTCGTCTCGATAGAATCTGTATGGTACGTTGGATCTCGCCGTCTCGTCCGATGACTGGATCTAGCTTGCCGTCACGCGCTCGTTCGGTAAGGTCCACACCATATTGTTCCAACGCAGGCTTTTCCGGCTCGCCACCCAGGTTCATGCGATGTGTTCCACCTGGAGGGTGTGGTCGGCCTCCGTTGGTGGCATAGCTTCGTGATGATATGAGTGGTCGTAGGAGTTTCTGCTGCTGAGGCAGTCGTATCGCGGAAGCGTTGAGACATGACGGCGATGTGCGCATGGGAAGTGATCGTGAGGTCGAGGGGGAGGCGATGCGCCTCGCGGCTATGCGTGCTCTACTAGTCAGCATGACGATGTCAGAGTCAAAAAGCAAGCAAAAGTCAATTTGGAGGAGTTGGAGATGGTATCATTATATTCGTAATGGATGGCGGGAGCACAGGCTTCGGCGAAGATGCGCGGTGGTTCGATAGATTTCTACGCGTCTATGAGCAAACACTCCAGGCTTCCAGCATCCACAACCGATACAGATGGAAGCCGAGTGCGCAGACGAGAATGTGTTCGTGTGGGTATTATGTGCAAGCTGTAGATGCACAAAGATTGGCATGAGTATGACATGGTTGACTCTTCGTGTTCGTGACTGTCGCGGGCAGGGAGGGGCACGTGCTAGCGCCAAGGCTAGCGCGTTTTTCTCAGTGCAATTTCCTCCAGCCTCCATCAAAAACTGCAGCCGTCCCTCTTTCTCTCAACACAACACCTTCGATTCTCCCATACCATACTCGCAACCACGTCTGCAACTATGGGTTTCACCGATCTCGTTTCCGAAGCAGGCCTGACTCTCCTGAACAACTATGTCAAGACCCGCAGCTACATTGTTGGGTAAGTTCCTACCCCGCCATACAACTCCCTCCGCTTTGTACCTTCCCTGCATTGCGTCGCACCCCCCAAGTTTTCATGATGAGAACAATTGGTCCGTGTTAATGAGGCGGCTTAAGACCCCGCTATCTGAATACAAAACCACGCGCTTGTCGCAACTCTGATCTATCTTCCCTCCTTCTGCCTCTTATCCAGACACCATGAAGGAGTCATTGGCTAACATGCCCCAGCTACTCCCCATCGCAGGCCGATGTAAAGGTCTACCAGCAAATCAAGCAGATCCCCGCGCCTGAGAAGTACCCATACGCATGGCGCTGGTACAACCACATGCTCACCTTCGAGGGCGAGTTCGACTCCCTTCCTGGTGACCCAACCAAGGACTTCACCGCCTACGGCCCCGAGTCCTCCGAGCTCACCCTCAACCCCGCCAAGGCACCTGAGAAGGAGGCTGAGGACGACGACGACGAGGTCGACCTGTTCGGCAGCGACGACGAGGAGGAGGACGCCGAGGCTGCCAGGATTAAGGAGGAGCGTCTGGCCGAGTACAACAAAAAGAAGGCCGGCAAGGTCAAGCCTGCTGCCAAGTCTATCGTCACTATGGACGTTAAGCCATGGGGTATGTGTCTTCCCATATTTGCCAATGGGCTTGCATGCTAACGTTGTTCAGATGATGAGACAAACATGGACGAGCTCAAGGCGAACGTTCTTTCCATCGAGAAGGAGGGTCTCGTCTGGGGTGCCTCCCAGCTTGTTGCCGTCGGTTTCGGTATCAAGAAGCTCCAAATCAACTTGGTCGTCGAGGACGACAAGGTCTCGCTCGACGAGCTCCAGCAACAGATCGAAGAGTTCGAGGACCACGTCCAGTCCACCGACATCGTTGCCATGCAGAAGTTGTAGATGCTTCTTGTTGGCGCACCCTTTTTATGACCTTTTGATGAAGACTATGCATGATCATGACGGACGGTTTCACGTCTTTATGAGCAGCTGCTAGACGAATACCAAAAATCACGACATGGTAGAGATACCACATCCCACTGCGGGACAACAACATATCTTGTCTTACATGCACTTGTGACTTGATGTATCACATAGGACAGGCGTGGACGCAATAACGGTAAGCCTGATGAGTGCGCGGCTCGTATAAGTACTGCCCAAGTCGATTAGCAACGGTAGGTGGGCTAGCGCAGCGACACGTCTTAGTACTTGGGCCGCGACACGGAAAATGGTGGGCTGCCAAACCTAGACATCAGCGACTGCTACGTTGACTGCCTTACATTGATGCATAAAGTCCGGCTCGGGAGCATGCCCCTATATACACAAAGGACGATGGAAGGCTTGGCTCGCTGCTTTCTTAGTCATGGCCGACGTGCCTTCGGGGGTTCCACGGCGCCATGATAGCTGCCATACATCAACACCAACCACACAACGCTCCCCAAACGCCGCGATCAGCACCATCAGTCTGTAGAAATCCCAACAGTTGAGGATATAAAGTAGCATAGGATTTATACGAAACATTGGCAACATCTCTTCTGACTCGCAAGACTCGCATGTTCCGC